CTAGTGGATTTATAATACGTAGATATGTTTATATTAATAAATAGTTTTTGTGCAGCAATCTGAGATTTTCAAAATATTAATATCTCCATATCCATGATCTATAAGATACTTACAATCTATAATGTTGCTTACAAAAACACAGTAAATAATATTATCATCCCCATTTTAGAGATGAGAAAATTTGGATACAGAGATTGTAAACAACTTGCTGTAGTCAAGGAGTTGGCAAGTGGTAGAGCTAGAATACAAACCCAATTCCCCCAAATCTCTTTACACTATTCCATTATGTCCATAAAGTGCCATTTCTGCTCCCTTGGGAGGAAATAGGAGCTGAGAACTATGTTAACAAAGGATAGATGAATTCCACTAAGAGTGATGGAGGCTCAGTAACAAAAGCATAATTTATTTGTCTGTTTATGTTCTGCAGCCGAGCCCAAGGGAAAGTGATAATACACACTGTGCTGAAGTTTAAATCCTGTTTTACAAATAGTGCAGCAAAATTTGGGAATAAGATCAAAACCATTTTACAACAGAAACTAAAGGGTGAAACTGGGTCTTTATGTATAGATCCTTCCTCATTTAAATTTTCAGGTAAGCCTTCTTATGTATGGTTTTCAACTTTTGGCTTGAATATGGTGTTTCGTTATGCAAATGAAAATGACATTCCTCTCTTTAAAGATATACACAATGATAGTTTCCTTTAACCACCATTAAAGTAATCAAGGGTCCCAAATAACATTTCTTTGTAAAACAAGGCAGCCTGGAATTCTTACAGCTTATTCTGTGGGTCATGATTTCTCCCTCAGTTCTTCTGGATGTCTCAAGAATCTAGACTCCTAAATTCCAGAATTGTTGGAGCTCCTTTAACAAGTATCACACTTGCTTCTTGATACACCTTTAATTCACCTTATCTCTCTCATGCTCATGTACAATCTGACTCTTATTCTCAGTCACTTAACAATATTATGAAAAACAGCCTCTAAAAGGCGGAGGCAACTGTGCCTTCATTCCCAGGATAATGATAAAAGTACAGCCAGCAGTGTACATAGATAAACTGAGCTAACAGTTCTCTGCCATTAATACAACAAATTTGACCAAAAGCAGAAAAACATAGCACCCCCACAGGAGGGACTAAAAGGTTTGGGAGAGAAAAAAATATCCAGGTCAAGGGTTCATTTGTATGGAACATCAAAAGGATCAAAAAGCAAAACCTGAGCATGCTTCTCCTGGATTAGAAGCCATCATGTTGTTGAAATATGACTCTCCTCAGGTTATTAGATCCTCCCTCTTAGAACCTTCCTTCTCACACAGCTTGCCATGTATATGTGATGACCTTAAAACAACAGAGAAAAATAAAGCAGCTCTCCAATTTTGCAGGGAATTTGCTTCCAAAAATATATTTTTAGAAATCCGCTTGTTAAAAACATGAACTCAAATGTAAAGAAACATAGCATTATATCCCTGGTATTCCTCCAAATTTTAAGAACATTACGTAAGATCTCAGGAAAACAAACATTCAGAGGGTGTTCTCCTGACTGACGATATTTTTCAGTAGTTTTATTTATTACAATGTTATCTTACAATTTTATGAAGAGCTGTGACTGTTACGTGTGACATCTTAAGTGCTTTGGTATTGTCTTAACCTCTACCTTATTTACTTATTATAGAAACTCCCTATGCCTCCCCCTTTGCCCTCCATCAGAAGCTAGATGCCTTGCAAAACTTACTGGGGTTTCACAGGTACAGGATCAAACGCGGCAGCTGACAGGGCCAGCTCTCCAAACCACACTGCAATGAGCTGACACAAGCCTTTCCCTGAGATGAATTGCAAATCTTTATTAGTCACCTCATAAACGGGTCTGTGCTTTAGGAATCTGTGAAAAGCTTATTTAGGCAGTCAAATTTGCTGTCCATTCTGTGTACCCTCTACATTCTTTGTCTCTTATGTAGAATTTCTGAAGAAACAGAAGAATCCTACATGTTTTGAGTAAGAAAAAAAAAGTTATGATTTTGTATTTAATGATAGTTTAATTGTACAATTTCAAAAACCATGTAATTATTAATATCATGGATTTACCTATGAGTATTGCAGAAAATAAGCCCTTATATTCTATTACGATTGTAATCAGGGTCTATTAACCACTACCGAAATATGTTTATTTTTCTATATTTTTTTCAAACATAAATAGTTTCCAGAAGAAGTCCTTTTTTTAAAACTATGGGAAAGATACATTCATTGTGAGAACAAGAAACTTGAAGTATGTTCCAGCAAAAAAAAAAATTTAATTCATTAAGAATGAACAAGTAAACATTACCTGGTGATGGTTATTTTGCATCAGAAACTACTATGTACAAATTGACAAGTGAATATGAAGCTAAGAAATAATCGGAGAGGAGGGAGATAAGGAGGAAAGCTTTTTGGAGAAGATGTCTCTTAAGACAGGTCCTAAAGAAAACAATGGGCATGACCTGAAAGGAATCCATAGTCCTCCCTGCTGAATGAGACACCAGAGCTGTGCCGTTGAAGCACAGACCCTTACGAGGTGTCTAGAAGAACCAAGCTAGAAGATTTCCAATCTGAAAGTGCTAATCTTAAATATTAACTTCTTGTTCAATGTGTGTCCTTAAAAGGACCCCTTAGAAACACAAGGATGCCACATTAAAAGTGTAGCACATATGTTATCATATGCATTATCCACTATTCACTATATCAATGTAACCCCCTAAATATACTCCTTGGCATGTGTCTTGCCCTCTCTTCATCATAACAGCATTTTACACTGCTTCCAAAGCTCAAAATCAACAATGGCTTGAGTCACTGTAGAAGCACATACAATATCCAAATAAAAATGATGTTCCTGATTTTTCATATTTCTTAAAATATGCCTAAAGGTTAAAAAATTGAATAGTTCTATCTTAAAAACTACCACCTGTGTATACAACTCATTATTAACTTAATTTAATTAATTTTGTGAAGATTTAACTAATTAATTTAATAAAATCCTTAACATTATATCTTCAGAGTCAAAATGTATATAGGTTTATCAGTGTTTACCAAAGGATATGTAATGTATAACCACAGAGTCAATTCTCAGTGAAAATATCATGAATGAACGTCTGCGGTGAAAGATGATTTCTGTGTCATAAACCAATTTTATAGCTGTTATCTTGCTCAATAAGTCCATGTACATTTATAGTTCTCGAGTTTTCAGAAATCTATCACAGGAATATTTTAAAAATCTCTCATAAAACACATTACATAAGAGAATTCCTCCATATTTTTAATGTTAAAACCATGGGAAACTATCTAAAAAGTAAGATTCATCAACTAATTTAGCATGTGGCCTCATGTAAAGTAATAAATTCACCTAAGTAGAGTTAAAGCCTGTGATTTATGTAAAATTTATATTATTTCTTCTCTAAATATTTGATAGAATTCACCTGTGAAGCCACCTGAGCCTGGAGTTTTCTTTGTGGGAAAGTGTTTTTTTTTTTTAAGGAAAAAGATATTCATTGAAATCAGACTTTTGGGGGAGTCTTCCTTCTTACCAGTGTATCTAAAGTTCCTGACCCTGGCAAATATTAACAATGGTCATGGACCTGCTTCACCGCTGACCCAAAAATCCCATTTAGAGAGCATCTAAGCATTTTTCCTAGTCTAAGTTTCAATAGTCAGTGAATTTTGCCTATTTCGGCCCTGGTCAAATCAATTTCTTGACTCCCTCCTAAAAGAATATTTGTCATCAGCTGTTCTAATTCCCTCATCACCCCTCTGTGCTAAGTGACTTTTATTGGTGCATCCAATTTTCTAGGCATACTTCCGCCGTAGCATTTATCACATTGATTTTAAATTATCTTCTTAGTTGTCCATCCCTTCCACAGGAATCCAAGTTCATTGAGGTCTGGGTCCATGTCTATTCTTTGGTGCCTGGCCTACAGGAGAAGACCAATGCATACTTTCTGAGCTGTTTTTTAAAAATTGCTTTGTCTTATTACCCTTTGATGCAATCTCCTCGTTGGCAGGAACAGTACCATTGGTTTTTTGTCACTTCTTTTATACATGGTACATGTAAACAGAGTATCTTAGATAACATTGTTGACTGCTTGAGTCAGAGGTAAATCTACAGGAATTCCAGCCTTTGAGGGTGAGTCAAGGGACTTAAAAGGAATGAAACACAAACAGCCACAGGGGTGACTCAGTCCAAAGGGATGATGGGTTAAGCCACTTCCTCATTCATAGTAAACTGCCTCCAACCTACCCAAGTGATAATTATTCAATTAAGTTCTGGAATAATATAACTATTCAACGTAAATTATAAGTCAAATACATTTCTTCTCTTTAGCAAGTCCTGCATAAATAAAGATAACTTGAAAGAAAGAAGAAATTCCTGTAAATATAATAAGGGTTTTTAAATATTAATAATTAGTTCTTAAGGTATAGAAATTAACATTTTTCCAGTCCAGATAAAATTTAATTATTTCCAAAAATCCTAATATGATTTTATATATTTTACCAGGTATACAAAACTCAAAGCTGGGCCGGGCACGGTGGCTCATGCCTGTAATCCTAGCACTCTGGGAGGCCGAGGCGAGTGGATAGCTCCAGGTCAGGAGTTCAAGACCAGCCTGAGCAAGAGCGAGACTCCGTCTCTACTAAAAAATAGAAAGAAATGATATGGACAACTAAAAATATATAGAGGGAAAAAATTAGCTGGGCATGGTAGTGCATGCCTGTAGTCCCAGCTACTTGGGAGGCTGAGGCAGAAGGATTGCTTGAGCCCAGGGGTTTGAGGTTGCTGTGAGCTAGGCTGACGCCACGGCACTCACTCTAGCCAGGGCAACAAAGCGAGACTCTGTCTCAAAAAAAAAACAAAACAAAAAAACTCAAAGCTGAACCCTAGAGGTATCACGTCACATAAAAAACTACCCTCTAGAAGGCGGCTGTGAAGGATTAGATGAAAAGATGCCAGCTTTCTGTTTAAGTAGGTGTGGCTCCTATCAACTCATAGCCTTGCTGACTACTCATAGCCCTGATTACTGAATTGTTCCAGTCTTCTTTGTCCAGACAGGTTGACTTTCTGGTAAAGGATTCTTGTCTCTCTGATTTATTGTGCAACCTAATGTAACAATATGTAACTGTAATTGGCATGTAAAACTGGATACTCCTTCTTGGATTTATAGAAATCCAAGAGCATTATAAAAATGAACCTACATTAACATAGTATTTAATTCATACAGCAGCTGGTGATTCCTTTTTGAAGAGGAATTCTGTAAGTAGAAATGGCTTGTGGGCTTATGGCTCTCTGCATCTGAAATTTGAAGCATGACTCATTTTTTCACCCTCTCCTCATATATTTCCCACATAAATAAAATGATTACACTTACAGAATAATGTGTTTCCAAAAATAAAATAATATTAATGTTAAAATGTGTCCATAAATGTAAATATTTTCACTTTCTTTTCCCTTGATTTTTAGACATTGCAATGCCAGCAGCAGAAAATCTTCTCAATACCTGTAAGTTCATCAATACTTATTTTCTAGTGAAACTTAATTACTTGGATGCCAGACGATACCTCCGCTTGAGAGTCACTGTGGTACTCATTAAAGGAGAAGGAATAGGAAGCTTACTTCTAGAAACTTCTATAAAGGTTACTGGAGTTGACCTTAAACTGATTGATATCATGGATGTAAAATCAGGAACACATTATCACATGCCATATGGAAGAGGGGATACAAGAACAAACAGTGGTAATTAAGAACTTAGAATCTAAAATCAGCTACCCATGAGTTTTGAGTCCCAGATCTGCCACTTACTAACTGAATGAATTTACACTGGTTATTTAATTCCTCAAAGCCTCAGTTCCAAATAGTTGTGAAGATAAAAATAAGGTAACACAAGTAAAGTACTTACAAGAGTACATGGTTCATAATAAGCATTCAGCAAATTTAAGTTATTAGTATTTTTAATTTTGCTAATGAAAACTCCAGGCCTGGGAACTCACTGTGGAATTTTGATCCTAGAAGCCAAATTTAAGTGTGTAGAAAAGTCAGCTGCCTTACACGCAAGCAGCTTCCTCCTTGCTGGCCAAGGCTTTCTGCTTCCATTCTCCTATTACCTGCTCTAGGAAATAGGATTCCCTGGGTTGCTGGAACCTGGAGCAGGCTGTCAGAAGAGGCATTGCTTTTATCTGGGGACTCAGACTGATTGGGGCAGCTGGATTAGAGGACTCACCCTCCAGAGCCAGGTGACATTGACCCTGACCAGTCTTACTGTCCCTCAGTCACAGCACAGTTAGTTCTGAAAAACCTGAGCAGAACTTAAATGCAAAGCTGTATTAGCTTGTTTTTCTCTCTTACAGATTTTGACTGAACAATCCTCAAGCAACTTAATAAGATATCTTAAAGTAAATTATTCCAATTAAAAAATTCATACCAATATGATCAAAATCCACAATTGAGAATTTGTCATTTCAGGTTCATAGAAGTTAAATAGTCAAGATAGGAATAAAAGCAGAGATAAGAAAGAGATCTGGCTATGTAGATACTTGTTAAAAAAAAAAAAAAAATCAGCTGATTTGTCTATCCCCAGCTGGAACGCTAAACAATCATCTGTAATAGTATTCTGGTATATTCTGTTAGGCCATTTCACTTGGCCTAACCTGGATTTTGATCATACTTAAAAAAATTTTTAAAGATGAGGGGTAGGCAAAAAACATGAAACAAGGTTAAAGAAAGAATAGAGCTTTGGTTTGTTCCACAAAGTGTATTAGAATGTAGTAATAAATGATGGAGTAGAAGTTAGAAGGGTAGGGAGGCTATAAGAGCTCAGAAGGTTCACTGATGTTTCTGAAAGTATCAGCCAGCAATCTTCATTATATTCCTTAAATTCTTGAAATTTACCATATTATCTCTTTTGACATAACAAAGCTACAAGGTGCCTTGTTAAGACTTCAGCAGAGTTAATAACAAGGTAATATTGCAGACGGGGCAGCCGAAAGCTTAACAGACACAGCAATCATGAGTCAATGAGAATTTAGAATGGAAGTTGATGCAGGGATATAAATTAGGTTAGAATTCTGAGTAAGAGCAGAAACATGAAAGTAGAGTCACCCAAGGGAGGTTGCCCTAGCCCATAGAGATCCATCTTTGTTTTTTTATTTCTCTGAAGGAAGTTGATTAAAAGCCAACTTCCTTTAGGAGTTGTCCAGAAAGAAGGGAGGATAGGGAGGAACCATTATACCGCTGGTTCTGGATTATTTGCTTGATCCTCTGTAGCATCCGTGATAAGGAAGCAGAAACAAAGAGGAAAGAAAAGGGAGTTCCACTCAGTGAGTCAGTGTGAGAGCTAGCTCATTCAGAGAGAGCAACCACCAAGGCTCTAGCTCAGCTACATGATTTTTATGAAGAGGATCCCTTAACAACCTGAGGTTTAGGTTGCAAAAGAAGATAACCTAGAATTAGAAGCAACACACAAACTAAAGGACTTCAGAGGACAAGTTAAGGCCTTCAAAAGGCTATGTGAAAACCCAATTTTTTAGGCTGGGCACAGTGGCTAACGCCTGTAATCCCAACACTTTGGGAGGCCAAGGGCAGGAGTATTGCTTGAGGCCGGGAGTTTGAGACCAGCCTGAGCAACAAAGCAAGACCCTGTCTCTACAAAAATTTTAAAAATTAGCCCAGTGCGGTCACACGTACCTATAATCCCAGCTACTTGGGAGGCTGA